AGGCCAAGGTGAACGAGATTGTGAACACCAAGGACAACAAGAGTCTTGCGATAGCGAGACGCATGCGTTATCTGATATGCTACTTGCGTTGTGGATTGAGCACCTTGATGGGAGAAGGTTGGACGGCGACCTCGGGTGATTCAGTGTACTTCTTCCTACATGCTGGTCCTGAAGCAAAGGATGCGCTTATGATAGCCACGACGAACGCTGGTGAGTGACTGATTACATAGTTGCGAATTTGAGTCGGAAAGCCGGTGAGTAACGTGGAGACATAATGACGGATCGGGTGCAAGTTCTGAGTACGGACAGTCTGAACATGTATTTATGCCAACTCTGGTGTTAATCTCATGCATGACGGTGATGAGGCAGAACTGGCAGTGCAAGAATGTTGGAAAAGTTTGCCAAAATTTTTTCAAAAAGAACGGATCGGGATGGCCGACCGGAGGCCTTGGTGACTGGACGTGCGAGTGCCATTGGAGGGTTGGTCTACGCGTTCCCATTGAACGAGAGCAACGGCACGGCACGAAGCAACACTTCCCAGTTTGGCCATGGGGGTGCACGTCACGGATCTGCGTATACAGAGTTGCTGCAGAAAGGTATGCAATGCAAGTTCGTGGATCAAACGTCTCTAGACCCTTCATTCAGTGATAGCGTCCAATAGCACCGATCATATCGTCTTGGTGAGAATGCTTCTATATTCTCCAAAACTGCAGTTGGAGAGACGGCCACGACATCCACGCTAGTTGTTGAGGACAAGAGCGAGGAGCCTGAGGAGTGTCGTCATGTGGTCGTTGACATTGACTCGGATGCACCCGTGGCTGTTGGTGATGTCCCCTCGGCCGTCGAGCACGAGGATGTAGATGGGCAAGGCGCGCCTCATGCATGCGCGCCTATGACTACACAAGAGAATGACGATGGTCAAGATCATGCAGGCTACGTGTTGGTGTGACGCTTATTATCACGACCTTCATATTGCCAACTGAATACAGTGCAGTGGTTTCATGCGATAATCCGTCGTTTGGGGTACTAATCATTCTCAGAGTTGTCGAATTCAAATATTTTTTTTGAAATCTCCTCACGTTCCAACCTGTTAGGGAGGCGCCTGGGTACAAGATTCATCATGAGACCTCACCGGGACGGTAGCCAGCACAACCCTCCCTTTTAGGGTTGCGCGACGTGGTCTTTCTGTTGAACCCCGTCCCCATCATTTAATTTTTCATGGTGGTGACGCTGCATTGTACGCTGGGGGGTGGATGTGGAGTTTCGATGAGGTTGCGGTCTTGGAAGATGATGTGGGCTGCCCTCGGCATGGTTTGGAGGTGTGATAAATGCGGTAAATCTATGTTCCTATGGTCGGTAGACCGCCAACCTCCACCAAACGATGCTGGCCAGCCTGGACGGAAGCGTCTACCGATGTTGCAGCGATTCCTTACGTCGTTCGCCCTAGGAGGCTTTGGCTATCAGGCGTTGTCGGAGGTTGGTAGAAATCTTGGAGTGCCTATCCCATGCAAGAGAACTTTTTATAGGTACAAGAGTGGGGCGGGAGGATTTTGGGAGAAGATTATTACGCATGCGAGCAGATGGATGGAAAGGGCGCGATAGTGTATGCTAGCCTGGAAAGAGGATGGTTACTGGGTTTGTGTCGACGGGAGGTGGGGGCAATCTCGAGAGGCCGAGTGGGTCAGTGTCACATTCATGGATCCCAAATCACGTAAGATAATTCATTGTGTAGCACTGCCAAAATTTGAGGTGGGGGTTTCGTCGACAGAGCTTGAGGGAATTGTTTTTTAGCAGGGCCTGAATGACTAGAAAAAATGGGAGTTTCCAGTCAAATGTATCATTACTCATAAAGGTTCAAGTTTCAAGGTTGGAATCATTCAGTAGGGTATTGAGCACCAGATGGATGTCTAGCACGAAGGTCGATCGTTATCACGCAAGTTTGTTAGGTTTTTTGTGGATGCACGTAAGGTCGATATGGACATCACAAAGGCAAAGATGTGTAAAGACTTGTGGTCTGTGAAGGTAGAGGATCTCCAGGCCTACTTGAAGGTTCATTTATGCCCTAGTCTAAAAGGAGTTAAGGGAATTAAAACCAAACGAGACTTGATTGGGGCAGTCTGTCGTGCGCGAAAGTTCCTGTTTGAAGATCTGTCTAAAGATAACTCCTCTTATCTATATCTTGAGATGTGACGTAACACATGGATGTGCCGGAAACACAACCTAGGTACGACATGCTCTGCAGCGACTGTGTCTAGTACATGTCACGACGGGAATAGCATAGAGGGGTTGGAGATCGGAGGAGGTGTGACGGGTGAGTCGGTGGTTGTATCTGTCATGCAGTCCCAACAAGATGAGAGCCTTGGGTGGGGGGGGGGGGGCAACGGGGAAGCAAGGGCTGCTGGCATTTGTGCACCTAAGAAGTATGATGGTTTTGTTGCCATCTATATTCTCGATGATGACACTATTGGGTCTGTGGAGGAGGATGTCGGGCCAAATCTAGATTACAGTGATGTCGGGGAGCTATGGGGTTATGATCCCATCCTGATCATGGAGTGCGACCGTGCTCGGCGGCATCTTTGCTTCTCTTGCATGCGTCCGCATTGTGCCACACCGACGCGACTCGGGGCATGAGATTAGCGACGACGACGGCCTGCGACGCAGTCCCCTCAGGTATGTCCTTTAGTGTGCTTCTTTGCCAATTAATAGAACAAACTATACGTGCATTGTGAATATCATAATATCAATCCGTGTTCCTCATTCATGGTGCACATGCAGGCAGCCAGGCGAGCGCGGCTCGGGGGGGGGGGGGGGGGAGAACGATTCACCAGAGCAACCTCGTTGGTGGGTGGAAAAGCGGCCACGCAGTCGGAAGAGTGGAGACTCGACGCAAGATGAGGAGGGGGAGGGTCCGGACGGAGTATTAGAGGAGGTTACAGTGGCGCAAAGATTTGCATACACTTTCATTATATGATGGCATGGTGTGCCACTCATTTCAGAGTAGAACCGTCCTATGACTCCTGAGGAGGTTGCCGGGGAGATTGGAGTTGCAGTTGATCATTGGGCCGGTGATCATTCGCCTTGCAGTCGGGGATCTGAAAGATCAAGAAGTGGGGCAAAGAGAGCGCATTATACGAGTATGGTTCGCGAACGCATCTTGCTTTCAGGCAGTGGCTTAGCGAGAACTGTGGCCCAAGGGAGATGCGACCATATGTGCATGGGGCTTGCAATTGGATGAATAAATCTTTTCATTTATTGATATGCAAGTATGCATCAAAGCGCATACTGTTTCGTGAAAGCATGAGAGCCTGAATTGGGCTAACTGTATTTCTTTGGAACCAGGGTTTGGAAAGGGAAGTGCGGGCAACCAAGATCAGGATACGCCGTGCTACTCGGGTCTGCCGAGGCAAGCGCTTGAGGATCTTAGGCTTGATGGATTGGAGCTGGGTCGACGACATCATGAGGATGTCATCTGACGTTGCAGAGGAGGGGGGACCTAGTGATACCTCTGTCACTGCTCCATCCACGCCAGAACCACACACCAAGCGACAGCGTACCACCAATGAAGGAACCACGGCATATCGACGTACCCTGTTTGGTGAGTTTGTCTACCCTGTTCTTGGAATTGTGTGACCCTCCAAGCTTTTGCACACATGTCGTTTAATTTTATTGGTCCGGGTTGAAAGTTACAGACCAATGGTTATTTTCCCATCCCAATTCGTTCTCCATGCAGGAGACATCTCAAACGTTCGATAGGGACATCCCTTATGGCAGCCATGAAGTTGAGGTGAGGGCAGGGGGAAGGTGAGGGGCGGTGGAAGTTGCGGGGAAGGGGAAGGAGGTGTGGGGGGGGGGGGAGGTAAGGGGAGGGGGTAGGTAAGGATAATTTGAAACTCAAAGCTAAACACGCCTCTGTACATTCTCCCCACCATATCGTCCTCACCATATCACCATTCGCCTCTGCACAAACTCAGAGTTGAACGCGCCCCACAGAGTTGAACCGGAAAGTTGGTCTGTCTAAAGGGGGGAGGCAAAGATGGATAGGGGGAGAGGGTGAGGGGCACGGGGAGGGCAGAGATGGATTGGGGGAGTGGGTGAGGGGCAAGAAGAATGCAGAGATGGATAGGGGGAGTAAGTGAGGGGCAGAGGGGAGGCAAAGACAGCAAGGGAAACCAGAGGAGGGAAGGGAGAGCAAGTGAAGAGCAAAGAAGGGATAGAGGGACAGGAACGTAGACAAAGAGCAGGAAGGAGAGGGTAGGAGACTGTAAACTTGGGTCTCATGATGGGATGGCTGGGGTGGAAAGGTACGGGTGCTGAGAAAGAAGGGAGGAGTACTCACATCTAAACGACCGGAACTGGGTTTAGGGTGGGTGAACGAGCCCCATCACTTTCCCCTCTCCACCGCTCCTGCATTCTCTTCTCTCCCCTGAACGTGCTCCTACATATCTCCCTCTGCACCTCTTCTTCCCCTTCTCCAATCTCTGCTGTCCTCCCTTGTTCCCACCCCTCATCTGTAGAGCTGAACATGCCTCTATTCATCTCCCTCGCGGCCACCAAGGATGCATCGGCCTCGTCGATGGCAGAAGCAAAGAAGCTAGCATCAGCAACCGCGTCAGCCGCCGCATCAGCAAGAGCATCAGCAGCAGTAGTGGCCACTAGTGGCAGTGTCACCGGCAGCACCAGCGACAGTGGCAGCAGCACCAGGCTTGGGTCTGGCATCCCAGCTCTGCCCTGCTCACCTCTCAGCTCCCCCCACTCTCCTCCCCCGCCCACCGTCTTTCCGCATCTCCCCACCGCACTTCACACGCGCAATCACCTGCCTCACCCACCCGAAGGTGCCATGGCGCCAGTGTCACAGCAGATCTGTCTGCCCCTTCCCTGCCTGGTAGCCTCACTCCAGCCCCCACCGTCTGCCCTCCTGACCTGTGCCTCTGCTCTGGCCCACACGGACCTGAATGATGTGCCAGGAATTGGTTTGGAATTAGGCTCAGGTGCAAGCTTGGATGCACGCTCCGGTGGAGGCGTGGGAGGTAATGATGGAGAGGATGGTGGGAGAAGTGGGCAATGAGAAAGGGGTGAATGGAGAGAGAGAGAGAGGAAGACAAGGGAGCATAGGAGAAGAGGGCGGAGGAGGAAAGGAGAATGACAAAGGGGCGAAAAGTGGTGCGGAGGCTGCAGGGGAGGAGGTGGGCATGGTAGGACTTTTGGGAGAAGATTGTTGATGAGGTAAGGGGGTGTGAAAGCTGCTGCTGTCTGCTCGTGGTTTCTGCTTCTGCTCATAAGTTGGGTCTGCATCCCATGTGTGCGTCTGCCCATCTCCTCTCTTCGCTCACAACATCCTCTCCGACATCAGTCTGTCCTTCTCTATTCACTCCCACCCTCCCGCCCCCTTCTGTGTCCCTGCCTGCCCATCAGATCGACTCTCTTTTTCTTCCCCGCCTCTGCTCACCTTTCAACTGCCCCTCCCCACTAAAGGCCCCTCCGCCTCTACACTTCCCCCCACCCTCTCAGCCTCCTTCTACCATGCCTCGTCCTCTCACACCTCCTCTCACGCCTCCTTCTAACGCCCTTCTTTCGTTTCCTCATCCCTCTGCGGCACTCGTCCCCGACCCCTTTGCCACCCCGCTGCAATTGTTGCATGTTCCCTCTCTCGCTGCACTCAACGTGAACCTCTTGCAATCCGCACACACTTCCGCCCATACAGACCCTCACACACTGACACCCACCACACACTCTGGCACACACCCGTTGTACACACACACACATGCTTGTCAAAATAGTAGGTAATACAGAGTAGAAACATGGGGCCTAGGCTTAGTAGCCTAGGCCCTAACTTAGTATCGAGCGGGTTTTCACCTAGGGTGAGAGTCGAGTGAGTTGGAGAGGAGAAATTGTGAAAAGGTGTGTTTCACTATAGGTTCAGGGGTACATATAGCATAGAAACACAATAAGGTGCACCACCAACAAAAGTTTACATAACTACACTAACTACAACTACAAGCAATTATAAAACATGACAAAGTATTTCGACACGCCCCCATAATGCTTGTAGGTAGGTGTGTAGTTATAGCAACAGCAGGTACCCCTACCATCTCCTCACCCTCCTCCTTCCCCTCCCCCACACTGCTGCAGAAGCAGCAGAGAAAGGGGGAAGAGAGGAGAGGTGGAGGGACGGCTGCTTGTTGCCTCACACCCGCCACCCCGGTACCACTCCCCCTGCTCCCCCACATCCTCACACCTTCTCCCCCCAGCGGCAGCTGCAGCGGTGGGACTGAAAGAAGGAGGAGGGGAAGGGAGAGAGGTGACGCCACACTCCAACACCCTCCACCCCCATACCCTCCTCCCCGCGGCTGCAGGGAGACAAAGGAGGAGGGGGGTGGGAAGGAAGAAAGCCGCAGAGCGGCGAAAAGGTGTCGGTGCAGTGGTGTCAGGGGCGGCTTCAGGGAGTGCAGGGGCGGAAAGGCCCGTCGCGGGCCAGTGCCACGGGGCGCACGACGGGTAGAATAGAAGGGCCCGATCGTGTGCCTCGGGGCGCACGACGAGCAGGGCACCATCGTGTGCCACGGGGCGCACGATGGGCAGACGAAGGGCACCGTCGCGTGCCACGGGGCGCGCGACGGGCACGGAAGGAGTCACTCGCCCGTGGGCGGGACAATGTAAAAATAAAGTCGTCACGCGCCCTAGGCGCGCGACCGGAAAACCTTAGCAGCGGAAGTGTAAAGTGGGCCCACAGGCCAGGACGAACCTAGCTCCGATAACATGTCAAAATAGTAGGTAATACAGAGTAGAAACATGGGGCCTAGGCTTAGTAGCCTAGGCCCTAACTTAGTATCGAGCGGGTTTTCACCTAGGGTGAGAGTCGAGTGAGTTGGAGAGGAGAAATTGTGAAAAGGTGTGTTTCACTATAGGTTCAGGGGTACATATAGCATAGAAACACACCTTTTCACAATTTCTCCTCTCCAACTCACTCGACTCTCACCCTAGGTGAAAACCCGCTCGATACTAAGTTAGGGCCTAGGCTACTAAGCCTAGGCCCCATGTTTCTACTCTGTATTACCTACTATTTTGACAATGCTCTGTCCATGACGGTTCACCTAGCACTCTCACTCACTCCCGAAAACCAAACATCAAACAACAGACGAAGGAGGAACAGCAGGCAAAGGAGGGGCAGCACAATAAATCACATTTCTGTGCACCATTTGGGTAAGCAAGCCCTGCACTTCCAGCTAGGGAGCGTTCGAGGTGGTGCTGCTTGTAATGCCGCCTGTGGTGCTGGTGGGCGTGGTGGGAGTGGTGTTGGTGATGGTGGATCGTTTGGTGGGGCCGGGGGATGGCGGTGCAGGTTGCCTCAGCTGTATGCATCAGTTCTAGTCATCACTGCATCTACATGTGTTCGCCTGCAATGCTGCTGCACATACCGAGCACTAAACCTGCAAACGCGGTGCGGCTGCTTTTTTACTAGTAGTGGTGGCAAATAGAGCAACTCACGCCCCCATGGCAAGAAGCGAGGTGGAACAAGAAAATGCTAGCCAAGTACCAGAACTGACTATACAGATAGGGCCAATTCCTTGATCTTATTATCATTTCGGCCAGCAAAGGAGTGAAGGGAGGAATTTATTTGACCATTACGGCAAGTCGTCACTGATTAAACATTCTCTTTAGCAAACGGTCAGTAAATCCCAGACTCCTGCGCCTCTTGATTTACAATTGTCCTATGTCTACCATTGAATGACCTCATGCCAAAATCAATCTCTTAAGGGATGACCCATTCCAGGTTGAACCTGTCCACATCACCTTGACTGCAGTGTCTGTAACCCTCGCCCATTGGCTCAGGGTAAAGTGATCCTATCATGACGTGGATTAGCCATGGCAAAGTCACATGAGCAATTGGCTTATCACCAAACAAGGCAAGTACTGAATGTAGCAACGGAAACGGTGTTCTTAGCGGTCATAGGTTGACCTTCAGAATCCTCATCCGTGATTTTTCCTAAGCATACTCTGAATATGCTCACCACACTACATCTTTAACCACTCGAGCTCCCCCCTTCCAACAATCCGAGCCAATGGCGAGCCCATTTGTGAAAAGCACGATACTGCTTGGCATGATGCTCCTCAAACTGAGAAATGGACCAACTATCTTTTGCATATTGAGCATGTAGGGGCAATCCTGTTGGTCGCACAACTCTTCGAGCACGAACCCTTAGAAGGGGATGCGTTGTCCTAGTGGCAACCAAACGAGTATGGGCGGAAATGGTACCCGTACTTGTCGTGGTCATCGACCCCTACACGTCGTCGACCTCTCTCCTCCTCATAATCCTCGGAACCCTCCTCCCTAACCTTGAATCCAAGCGTCAGCCGTTGCCGAGGAGTACGTCGCCATGATGACATGGCTGATGAGGTGTGTCGTAAAGGGTAGGGAATATCAAACAGAACAACAAGAAGAGAGAGGGTGAAGGTAGGCAGTGATGAGGACGAGGTGGGGGGATAAGGCTAGGTCTGAATTGAGTTGGCTATGAAAGGGAGTGTGGAATTGAATGACGGCAAGGGCAACTGGCCGAGGTAAGGGACGGCACGAGGAGAGCAAAGAAGGGACTGAGGGACGGGAATGTAGACAAAGGGCAAGAAGGAGAGGGAAGGGGACGTAAAGTAGGTTCTCATGATTGGGTGGCTGGGGGTTTGGAAGATAGGGGTGCCGAGAAAGAATGGGGAAGGACTCACAATTAAAGAACCGGAGCCGGGTTCACCGGTGGCTGAGAAGCAAAGGAAGAAAGGGGTGAGTGAGCTGGCGGGGATGGGAGAGGAATAAGAGTGGACGGGGGAAGTGCGGACGGGAAGGAGGATTTTAGGGGGAAAAGAGGAGCAGAGAGGGTAAGAGAAGCAGAGGAGGAAAACTGAGAGCGGGGGGGAGAAACAGGAGCAGAGGGGGGAAAGGAGGAGCAGTGGGTGGAAAGAGGTGAAGTATGGGAAAGGATGAGCAGAGGGGGGAAAGATGAGCAGAGGGGGGAAAGATGAGCAGAGCGAGAAAGAGGAGCAGAGGGGGAAAGTGGAGTAGGGGGAAAAAGAGGAGCTCAGGGGGGAAAGAGGAGCAGTGAGGGAAAACAGGAGAATAGGGGGAGAAGAGAAGCAGAGGGAAAAAAAGAGCGGAGGTGGGAAAGTTGAGACGATGGGAAAAGAGGGGCAGAGGGGGGAAATAGGGGAAGCACGTGATGAAATGGTGGGAAGCAGGGGGGGAGATGAGGGAGGAGGAGATAGAGTGGCGCGAAGACGAGAAGGCATGGCGGGAGGGGGAGAAGGCATGGTGGGAGGAGGAGAGGGGGTGGCGAGAGGAGGAGAAGGCATGGCGGGAGGAGAAGGCATGGTGGGAGGAGGAGAAGGCATGGCGGGAGGAGGAGAAGGCATCGAAGGAGGAGGACTGACAGCACGAAGAGAGTCAGACTCAGGGTCAGCAAGAGCAGGAAGAGAGGAATTAGGAGGAGACGGTAGAGGGACACGCTGTGGAGCAGTAGAGGGACGCAGTGACATCCGGTGTGTGCCAGGGACTGGTGGCAGACACTCACGCGGAGTACGGCGACTGGTGGAAGTAGTACGAACACGGGACTCAGGACGGGACACAGGCAACACAGGGCGAGACTTAGGCTGACGATGCTCTGTGAGACCGCCTGTAGGACCAGTGTAGGGAGAAGGACGAGGAAGTGGCGAGGCAGGCGGTAGCTGTGACTGCGACTGGACCGGTGGTGGACACTCTACTGAGGGAGGGGGACAAGGCGGAGGTGACTGACGAAGAACCTGCTTAAGGAGTGGAACAAAGTACGGCCGCGGCCGTGAGGTGCCCCTTGCAGCAGCAGAGACAGCACCTGAACCTCCAGCAGCTCCAGCAGCACCCCCAGCACCTCCAACGCCTCGGGTCTGCAGCACCAGCAGCAGCTCCAACGCCCGGGTCTGCAGCACCAGTAGCAACCCCAACTCCAGGCTCCGCAGCACCAGCAGCAGCTCCAACGCCCTAGTCCGCAGCACCAGCAGCAACTCCAACGCCCGGGTCCGCAGCACCAGCAGCAGCTCCAACGCCCGGGTCTGCAGCACCAGCAGCAGCTCCAACTCACGGGTCCGCAGCACCAGTAGTAACCCCAACTCCAGGGTCCGCAGCACCAGCAGCACCTCCAACGTCCGGGTCAGCGACACTAGGAGCGCCACTCCTGAGACTGCAGTGCCATGCGTACCACTCACGAAGACGCTGGGGAGAGGGCATCTCCCGCCTACGCGAGGAAGCACGAGCACCAGCTCCAGCAGCACCCCTAGCACCAGAAGCACCTCTCCTGAGGCTGCAAAACTGTAAGTAGCACTCACGCAGCTGCTGTGAGGAGAGAGCTCCTCCAAGCGTAGCACTCCCAGGCTCAGCACCCCCAGACTCAGCACCCCCAGACTCAGCACAAGCAGGCTTCGTACTCCCAGGCTCAGCACCCCCAAACTCCGCAACCCCAGGCTCAGTACCCCCAGACTCTGCACCCCTAGGCTCAGCACCCCCAGTCTCCACATCCCCAGGCTCCGCACGCTCAGGCTCAGCACCCGGAGCAGGACGAGAGTCGACAGCTACCTCAACAGGCTCAACCGGGTCTACCTGGGACACACCTGAGGGAGCGGCACCCTGAGGGGGGAGGGGGTCTACTACAGCAGCACCTGGCGCGAGGAAGAGAGGCGGGGGAGGGAGCGGGGTAGTGCGGTAGGGGAAGAGGCGGTAGAAGGGTACCGACTCGTCAAAGGTGACGTCCTAAGAGGCGAGGACACGGCGCAAGGTGGGGTGGTAAAACTGCCAACCAGACGCGTCCGGAACAAAGCCTAGGAAGACACACGGAACAGCGCGGGAGGAGAGCTTGTCCGCGGACATATCGCGAACAAAAGCTCGGGATCCCCACACCCGAAAACGCGACGCATCGCCATCCTCTCCCGTCCAACGCAGTGTCAGGGAGGTCTCCTACAAGGAGACACGGGGCTAGAGGTTGAGCTGATGCGCAGCGTATCGGACTGCAAACGGCCACAGAAACTGGGGGGCAGCCGCATGGATCAAGGAGGTACGAGCGACCTCCATGACCAAGCCAATGCGGCGCTCAGCAACCCCATTCTGCTGTGGAGAGGCCGGTAGCGTGAACGACTGGCGGATGCCGTGCTCCGCACAGTAGGCTGCCAAGAGGTCGGAAGAGAACTCACCACCTCTGTCAGAGTGCAAGCGCAGGACAGGAAAGTCCGAGTGGAAACGCTCGCTGAGCTGAAGACAAGAAGTGCGGATCCAAGGGATCAAAACATCAAGGGACCTCACCCTTGGTGCGCAAGGGGAAGATCGTGGTGTAGCGCGAGTAGTCGTCAACAACTATCAGGAAGTACCTTTCCTGACCCTGACCACGGACGCGGGCGGGGCCCCACACGTCCATGTGGAGCGTCTGCAAGGGAGCAGCCGTCGGGGGAAACGAGGAGGAGTGAGGAGCAGCGCGCTGCCGCCCCTCGACACAGGGAAGGCAGGGAGGAGCAGGAGAGGGTGGGAGGGGAGGGAGAACCCTGGGAAGACTAGAGACAAGGTACCGTTTGTGCATTGCCCAAAGGCGTTGCACGGACGGGGCCGACAGCTGACCTGAAGCAGACGCAGATGTAGCTACCTGAGGGGACTCAGTAGTCAGTGTGTATAGGTCCGACCCCGGCTGCCGTGTGAAGGTCGCCAGGTGACGGCCCGTCCGAGCACACGTGCAGTATGTCACGCGCTCGTAGGCAGGGGTGAACTGGTGGACACCCCTGTCGTAGAGCGCACTACCCGCCACCAAGTTCGTAGAGAGCCAGGGGAGGTAGAGACCGGACAGTGTGCCCGACGGGACGGCCGGACAGGGAAGGACAGTGGAGGAGGTCGCAAGGACGGGACCCCCAGAGGGATCAGCGAGAGAGACTGCAACGGGCCGAGCAAGCTACTCAAGAGCCGTGCGGTCACGAAAGAAACAGCAGGAGGCACTTGAGTCTAGTGTAAAGGTGTGCAGTGCCTCAGTCGACTCAGTTACAGGGGGCGCAGACGCACCAGCACCTAGAGCAGCAGCCTCACCAGCACCTGGGGTAGCAGACACTCTAGCACCTAGAGCGGCAGCCTCACCGGGTTCGAATGCCCGGGTCGGGCGGAACACGCAGGTAGTGGGCACCCTCTCCACTAATAGACATCACATACATGGTAGAAAGAATAGCATCAAAGTCTAGAGCAAAGATATCAATGTTTTGCTTCATTAGATCAGCCCAGCGGGGCAGCTTAGTGGCATCAGGGAACTGAGTACGCCTAGCGTCGTCGAGGCGTGAGAAGCAGCACTGCGTGGGGTGCGCCCTCCCACACGTCTGACCAGTGCGGTCACCAGTGCGGATGACGTACGTGCAGCTAAGGCCACCCCCCCCCCCCCCCGCGTGCTGAGCGTACCACTCACGGGGCTCCTAGGGCGACGGAGAGTGCTGCAGGCTCTGGCCACCGCCAGTGCCTCCACGACCACCACCGCCGCCGCCACCTCCTCGACCACCTCCTCCCCTGCCGCCGCCGCGTCCACCGCCGCCCCCACCATCGCCCCCGCCCCTGCCACCGCCCCCGCCGCTGCCGCCACCACCCCCACCGCTGCCACTAGCCCCACCAGTCCCACCACCACCCCCACCGCCGCCACCGCCCCCACCACCGCCTCCCCCGCCGTCACCTCCGCCTCCCTTGCCCCCTTTGCCCTTGCCGCTGCGGCGCCTGCTCGAGGCAGACGCAGCCCCGAACTTCTTAGAGCCAAGGAGGTCGACAGCAGAAGCAAAGGGAAGAAGGGGGGAAGGGGAACACCCCTCAAAGAAAAGGGTGCGGGGGTCGCCACGAGAGGCACCTACAGCGACTATGCTAGCCTCAGCTGCAAGCAGTTCCTTCTCGAGGAGGGCAATGGTGAGCTCAGTGGGGCAGCGAGCTAGGAAGTGATCCCTGACAGCACGCAGAGTGTCAGGGAGGCGGGTGACTAGGTGGTAGAGAGTGAGCCGGAGCGGGGGAGGGTTCTTGGCAAGAAACTCATCAGGCATGGCGGCATGGAAGCGAGCCTCACTAGTACGGAGGTGCGTGATGAGGTCAGCGACTGTGTGGAACGAGGCCAGGTCGGGAAACAGGTAGGGGAGTGAGAGACGGCCTAGCGCGGCAGAGGCAGGTGAGGAGTAGCGGGCAACGAGAGCGGTGTACAGTGCCTGTGCAGTCTTGTGCTGGCCAAAGTGCTCGCGCTCGTCTATCGGCAGGGAGTTGCGAATAGCGAAGCGAGCGTGGGCGTCACGAGTCTGCCACTGTGAGCGGGCAGTGCTGTCAGCAGTAGCAGTAGGAGCAGTAGCATGGCCTAGGGCGTGATCGTACAGTGAGATGTCCTCCTTGGCAGTGAGCTGTAGGAAGAGGTGTAGGTCATCTAGCCAGGTATCGAACTTCAGTGGGCGGCCCTCAGCATCGAAAGCTAGCACAGGAGGGCTAGCCATAGCAGCAGTAGAGTAGCAGTAGGTGCACCCTAAAAACAGTAGGCGGCTCGATTCAGGTAGGGCGGCTCGGCTCGGGTAGGGCGGCGCGGCTGGGTTCAGGCGGCGCGGCTCTGTTCCGGCTGAGCGGCTCGGTTCGGGCGGCTCGGTTCGGGCTGGGCGGCTCGGTTCGAGCTGCTTGGTTCGGGTGGCTTGTTCTAGCGAGGCCGTGGGTGTCGCGACGGGGTGCTAAGGGGCGGCGCGCGGGTCGAGAGGGGGCCGACGGGGCCGCTAAGGGGCAAACGGAGCCGACGCGGCCTCTAAGGGGGGTCGCGCGTGGGGTTGACGGGGCCAGCGGGGCCGCTAAGGGGCGGCTCGTGGGGTCGACGGGGCTGGATGGGGCCTCTAAGGGGGGCGACGCGCGGGGTCGACGGGGCCAGCGGGGCCGCTGAGGGGCGGCACGTGGGGTCGACGGGGCACACGGGGCCACTAATGGGTGGGCGCGCGGGGCAAACAGGGCCGACGGGGCCTCTAAGCGGGGCCAGCAGGGCCTCTAAGGGGCGCGGCGCGGGGTGGACGGGGCCTCTAAGGGGCGGCGCGCGGGTCGCTAAGAGGGGGCGGGTCGCGGGGCCTTAGGGGGCCGTGAAAACGAGGCGCACGAGGGCGCTAGGGGGGGAGGCGCTCGAGGGCGCTCCAACAGTAGGGCGCACGAGGGCGCTAATAGGTAGCAGTAGTGGTGGGCCCTAGGAATCGGTCCTAGCGGAGGACCTGCTCTGATTCTATGTCATGAAGAAGAAGTGATTGCACTATGAAAGTTAGAGTACAAGTAGGAAACCCTAACTTTGTGTACCCCCTCAAGGCTAACCCACTATAGCCTACACAATAATAACACAAATAGTGTTTGACAAGCA